CCCCCTATACACCCCCCTTTTCATTATCTGAAACAGTATGGGGGGGGGGGGGACCTCATTCTTCAAAATCTCCCACTCCAGTATCCTCATAAACTGCCAGGAACTTGGAGCAGGCTGTTTCTCTCTTCTCCACTCCCTTTAACTGACATTCAGCTGTGTTCAACATTCTGACTCTCCTAGAGCATCTTTACTTCTTATCAGTCTGGGATTTTATTTGGGGGGGTTAAGTTACAACATTTCATTTTCCACATTCCTAAGGAATACCCTGTAGAGACCCTTACTTTGTATGTCAGTGGGCCTGGGTTTGCTGCTTTGAGTATCAACACAGGAACCAGCAGGTTTACCATTAGACTCTGGCTGCTTCCACATTCTGTTCTTGTATGGACAGTGGGATAATGCCCCTTCCATGTTTGGAAGCATGCACTTGACATTGCATGCATTCTGAACATGAATTGTGGGACTCTTGGGCTTTCCTCTTTGGGCCTTATCTAAGGAAAACCTCTTCTGATCTGGCTTGCAGGAGGAAGGGTGTAGCATCTATGAGGACACTGTGCCCACAGGCGATATGGGCAGGGAGGCAGAGTTGAGCACCGCTTCAAAATGTCAGTGGTCAGCTTTGCATTTCCTCCCTGCTCTTCTAGCACTTTAAAAGGCTTTTTAAAATTCGGAGCTGAGCTTTGGTACAGCTTTGCATCACTGCTCAGTTGGGAGAGCGAAGGCGAGTTGATGAGCCATGTGGAGGGCAGTGCACTTGTCCTTGCGATGGAAGCAAAGGGGGGAAGGATGGAGTGTGGCTAGGCGGAAATGGATCCTGCTCCATACCATTCTACTCACTGCTGCTTCCACCAAAAGGGGCATCCCTTCCTATCCCCTGTGTAGAAGCAGTCGTAGTGATATGAGTGAAAGCTCAGCCAGTGGATTATGACACCTGGAGTGACTAACCATTCCCTGAGCCCCAGCATCACTCCGTAATGTATCAACTATTGGACTGTATGATAACTGTTGTTTTCCCTTCAGTTCTTTGTTTACAAAGTAAAGCAGCCTTTCATAGGGTGATAAAACTCAGAGCTCTTTTTCTACGAAACGACCCCTTGTGCTCCATACCATTCTACTCAGTGCTGCTTCTACCAAAAGGGGCATCCCTTCCTGTCCCCTGTGTAGAAGCTCAGCCAGTGGATTAGTGGATGACACCTGGAGTGACTAACCATTCCTTGAGCCCCAGCATCACTCCGTAATGTATCAACTATTGGACTGTATGATAACTGTTGTTTTCCCTTCAGTTCTTTGTTTACAAAGTAAAGCAGCCTTTCATAGGGTGATAAAACTCAGTTATAAAAAGTGTACATTTACATTAACCTTGGGCTTTGTTTTAAACTAGATTTATTTTAAAAACAAAATCTTGTTCTGGCTGAAAAGGTTTACCTTTTAAAAAAATCATTGATCTTCATCCACCCTTTACGTAAGGGCCTTGAAAAACCACTGCTCATCAGAGTTGTAGGCAGTAATTAGCTTCATACATTTGCGTATCTTCAAGTCATAAACTCTAGGAATGATGTCATAAGAACATAAGAGAAGCCTTGTTGGATCAGGCCAATGGCCCATCCAGTCCAACACTCTGTGCCACACAGTGGTCAAAACCCAACTCCCATTAGGAGGTCCACCAGCGGGGCCAAAATTCCAAAAGCCCTCCCACTGTTGCCCCCCCAAGCACCAAGAATACAGAGCATCACTGCCCCAGATGTGTTCCATCTATACCACTGATGGACTTCTGCTCCATATGTTTATCCAATCCCCTCTTGAAGCTGTCTATGTTTGTAGCTGCCACCACTTCTTGCAGCAGTGAATTTCACATGTTAATTACTCTTTCAGTGAAGAAATACTTCCTTTTATCTGTTCTAAGCCTACAGTTCATCAATTTCATTTAGTGTCCACAAGTTCCGGTATGGTGAGAGAGGGGGGAAAGTATTTCTTTTTCTACCTTCTCTATCCCGTGCATAATTTTGTAAACCTCTGTCAGTCACCCCTCAATCGTTTCTCCAAGATAAAGAGCCCTAACCTCTTTAACCCTTCGTCATAAGGTGTTCCATCACCTTCATCATTCTAGTTGCCCTTTTCCCCACCTTTTCCGATGCTATAATATCTTTTTTGAGGTGTGATGACCAGAGCTATACACAGTATTCCAAATGAAGCTGCTCCATAGATTTATACAGGGGCATTATGATCCTGGTTGATTTGTTTTCAGTCTCCTTCCTAATAATCCCCAGTATAGCATTTGCCTTTTTTTATTACAGTTGCAGACTGAGTCAACATCTTCAGTGAGTTATCTACCATGACTCCAAGATCTATCTCCTGGTCAGTTACCAGCAATTCGGACCCCAGCAATGTATATTTATAGTTAGGATTTTTGGCTGCAATGTGCATTACTTTGCATTTGCCCATGTTTAACCTCATTTGCCATGGTGATACCCACTCAGTCTCAACAGATTCCTCTGGAGTGCCTCACAGTCCTTCCTGGTTCTCACCACCCTGAACAACTTTGTGTCGTCCACAAATTTAGCCACTTCACTGCTTACTATCAACTCCAAATCGTAAGTCATATGTGCAGAATGTCAATGCTATAACATCTTCTCCTCTCTCCTGTTCTCCCAGTCGTTTTTGCAGTGTGTATCAAACTTCTGAAGCACATGTGTATAAAAGAATGTATCTGACATTGTTTTGTTAACCTTCTTGGGTGCTGTGTTGATGGTGGAAATTCATATTATAAATATACTAAATGACTAATAAGCAAAAAATAAATAAGGTTCCCTGCATCTGAAAGCTTATTGGATTGCTGCTATTTTTCTAGGTCAGAAATCCCCAAACTAAGTGACAAGGCACAATAGTGCCATGAGAAATATGTTTCATTCAATAATGTGCGCCCAGAGTTATTCACCAACAGAGGAGGCTCATTCTATGTGAGCTCACAACTTTGGCTGTGCCTCTTCCATCAGCCTCTGCTGGGAATAGGTAGTTCTATCGTATCTCTGCCCTGAAGTTTTTAATTATTCCACATGTAAAGATCAGCAAAATGACTCATTCTCAGAGAAGACTGCCTGTTGTATGTCTTCATGAGTCTCTGTTCAGGGCAGCTTCCTGGTTAGTAGGAGGCAGAGCTATAAGGAGGTGTGTTAAGAATAGTAAATCATGCAGAAGCCCACAAGGAAGACTCCTTTGAGGGTAGGTCATTCTTACACAAGCTACCCTTTATTTGGTTTTAGTATGAAATGTGCTTCCAGTTTTTAATTCAGAAATAAAGTACGCATTTGCTTTCCAAATTTTGGGAAACAGTTTTACAGTCTAACGGCTAGATTAGGAGTCTAGAATTTAAAACAATGAGATTCTGCTCTCTTTTACTGAGAGTACAATGTACAGGTATCTGCTTGTATCCAGGAATACACTAAACCACAAGAGGGCTCTGAGCTAAACGCAACCCATAACCACCCAGGCATTAATTTCAGCCTTTGTCCTACTCTAGGAGTGTCTCTGAGAGTACAATGTACAGGTATCTGCTTGTATCCAGGAATACACTAAACCACAAGAGGGCTCTGAGCTAAACGCAACCCATAACCACCCAGGCATTAATTTCAGCCTTTGTCCTATTCTAGGAGTGTCTGTGGTGGGGGTGGAAAGTGCAGTCAAGTTGTAACTAACTTATGGCAACCATGTGGGGTTTTCAAGGCAAGAGAAGTTCAGAGGTCGTTTGCCTTTGCCATTGCCCTTCCTCTGCATCATGACACTGGTATTCCTTGGAGGTCTCCCAGGGCCCTTCCTCATTAGCTTCCAAGTTCCTGTGAGATTGGGCTACCATGGGCTATGAGGAGTGTCTATCCTGACATTTTAATACCAGCTGCCTCAGGAGATTGAAAATGGCAACTGATTTTTGTGCAGTGATTAGAACATGGGTTTTCGCAGAGATCTGAATGGGACACCTGCTAACCATGCTGTGTAGTACAGGCAGTTCTGTTGGATCCTGTGACAACTGCCCAAGAGACAAGATTATGCCATTCTGGGACTGCTGTGCACTTGGTGAACTTATTCTTGCAAAATTGTAATTTTTTTCCTGATGTCTCAAATTCAGTGCAAGGATGACATTTGTATAAAGGTTGCTGGGTCAGTCAGATTTCACTTATCATCTGTTTTACTTTTCTGTGTGTGACTTCTGTTTTCCAGCTCTTTAAGTGGTCTGACGGGATTGTTCAATGAAGGCACTAGGACCTTGCGGAAAACAGCCAGCCTAGCCCTGGATTCCAGGCTGGCTTGCCTTGGTGACGTAAGCTAGAAGCCCTGTCTCTCTCTCTCTCTCTCTCTACTGTGTGTGTGTGTGTGTGTGTGTCTCTCTCTCTCTCTCTCTTCCCCCTCTCCCCCCTCCCTTCCCAAGCTCTCTAACATTAAAGCGAAAATGCTCCTTTCTGTGCCTCCTCGTGCAGGGATCGCCACTTTTGGCTACAACAAAAGCAACAAGAAGGTAAGGAAGCCAGTCCAGGCTCCCCCCCCTCCCCCCTCCCCGCTTCCTATTCCCAAGATCTTGGAAACGTCCTTGGCTCAGAGAAGGAGGAGAAGTAAAGAAGAAGGGGGGAAAGGGTGGCCTGTCCCCCCACCCCTAAATATTCCAGCTGTGTAATGGGGGCAGGCTTCTACCAATTATTTGGGGAGATTGGGAGGCTGGGAACTAGGCTTCCCAATAGGGAAACAAGCCTCACGGGTTGGCTGATCTTGGCCTCTGTTCCCTTGGTGACCCCCCCATCCATCCCCGCACCACAGCACCACCAACCCCTTTGCCAAGGCCAGAGTGTTCCCAAGGGCGAGTTTGGGTCTGGAGCAAACGGGGCCCTGAAATAAGCTGGGTAGACGAGAACAACAGGCAAGTAAATCACGACACTTAGGGAATCTTCTCAGACATTAATATTCTGTGGGGTTCATCCCTGCACCCCCGATTATGGGTTTTGGCAAGCGGAGGGAAAAGACGGTATGCATCCAGAAGAAGGCTGGGTGGTCTCCGATGATGGAAACAGGAGGCGGTTCAAATGCCAGGCGTGGGGTTCAAACCAGAATCAGACCAAGGCCTTGCTTTTTAACCCTCTCCTGACTTTCCAGGGGGACTGAGACTTGTGAACTCCCTCCCCCCAAGGGTGGGGTTCCAGGATGTGGTTTCTGTGGCATCCACGTGTTCTGAGGCAGCATGTGCCATACAGGATTCTTTCCCCTCCATCTCCTCCACCCTTTCTGCTCCCCACATCTGGGGTGAGACAGGAATACTGAATGTGCTGAAGAGACGAGGGGGCATTTAGTTTGCAACAGAGGAGCTACAGCAAAAACGGGATTCTGCCTACCACTCCTTCCTCATCAAGGCTGTCAGTTGGGAACCTGAAGGGCCTTGCCAGGTTTGCAAAATGCAAGGTGGCCTCCTGGATTATTTATTTATTTTTAAGATGGGGCGTGGATTAGTTTTTCCTGTGGCAAGAAGCATGACCTAGTGTTGGGGCTGAATTTCTAGTTGTAGCTGAGAAATGGGACAAAGAGCGAGATTTAGGAACTAGGAGGCCAGACTTCTGAAATTTTAAATGTTTGTTATTGTTGATTGATTGTCTGCTCATATGCCAGTGTTGTCAGGTAAAAGGGATGGGGGGGGGGTCCGTCTGTTTGATTTTCCTGTGCCTCAGCTCTTTCCATAGCTGAGATCTGGAGCTGAAGGCTAAACAATGAATGTGCAGATCGTGTTCACTGTGGTAATGGAGTTGGACAAAAGCCCCAGGTAGGAGGGCAAAGGCCAGATTTTGGTAATTAATTGTGTTTCTCCATATTAGGGGCAAGTGCAGCCCTTGAAGGATCTCTAGCCATCTGAATCTCTCTGTGCCTCCCTGCCAACTTCTCTTTGAACTAGGATGACATTTGCTTATTCTGACCAATGACTGACAGGAATGTGTAGAAACAGGCAGATGAGGGCTGAACTTGTGTATTAGTGGCAGGAGCAGGACATGGTTTTATCTGTGGGGGTTATGTGTACAGACATCAGCATGTCCCCAAAAGACAAATTGCCAGCAATGCAGACAATTAATATAATTTGTGGTTCTGTGTAAAATTAATGCTTTGCTTGTTTTGTGTGTGTATATATTTTTATCTGCACCTCCCTATCCATCCATCTGTGTGTATTGGATATGTGCTTGCCTGTGCATGTGAATTCTCTCTGTGTGTTTTAAATTATTATTATTATTATTATTACTACTATTACTACTACTTCTGGATTTGCAGTTTTCCAGTGCAGATTTCATTTGGACTGGCCTTTTATTTCATGGATCTGGTACTGGTTTGCTGATAAAAGTTTGATAGAAGCACTGTCAACAGTGAGCAGGGGGGGGGAAATGTAATTTAGGGAGGGAATGTGTTTCTCAGTGCATGTGCACACACCTGTGCTTTAGTGAGTAGGTACTCAATTATTGTGGTGGTATGTGTGCTCAGTCTTGTATGTATGTCCATTATTTGTATGGTCACTGCTATCTGTGTAGCATGTGTAGCTGAATTTAGATAATAATAATAATTGTGCATGGTTAGGTAAGGAGGAGTCATTTGGTGGCTGTATGATACATTGGATACCTGAATTGAAGAATTTTTGTTTCAGCTTGCAACATTCTACATGTATACCTTGCAAAAAAGCATGGATTTTGATGTGTTGTATTTTGAGACTGAAGAGCCAACCAATGAGACTAAACCAGCCTTGGCACAAGATCTCTGGCTTAAGCCGATTATGGATTTTATTCAGTGTATCTCTGAGTCAGTTCTCACGTTTTGTTGGGGTTGTTCTTTGCATATAACCATGTATGCATGAGCTGTATAACACAGGAGCTTGTAGTGGAAAAGTGATGGCTTCGGCATTTTCCGTACCGTGCAATGATCAAAAATGTACATCCTAGATGGCAAGAAGTTACTATAGCTGTTAGTTCACATGTGAATATGGGAGAGATGCCTGCATGCACAAGGAGTGTGACCCAGAGTCACATGAGATCTGCATGTGTGAGAGTAATGTCACATGAGAACTGGCCCTTTATATGTACTTTGTGAACACGTATCTTAGGTCTTGCATCTTGTAGGTTCGCCTTCTGGCTGTGGAAGCTATATATTCCATCCTGTAAAATGTGGACTGCTTTGCTAGTACCCTAGTTACTTTGACTTCTCCTAAGGCTGTATAGATCAACATCTCTTTGAAGCCATGGCAGATACAGATGGGGTGAGCAGGGGAAGGCTGCATACATCCGGAAGTAAAGGGAATTCTGTGCATCATGATTTGCTGACTCTTTGCAGTTAGTCTTCTCTACTGAGTGGAAATACTCTTTGATGGAACTGGGCTATTAATACCCCACTAAGTTTCTTGGTCAGTTTAGATATTTTTTGGGGAACAATATAAAAAATACAGTTATGTGATATATTTCAGGTTTTTTTAATCCCGGAGAGGTTGATTTCAAGCAAAGGCCATTGGGGTGATAGTTGCTGACTGATGGTGTTCATAAATGCAGACCAGTAATCATGATATTTAGTATCTCTATATATGTTGTGATTCTAGTTTTCATGTTACTTCCAGCTGCCTTGAGTGTCTGGGATGGCACACCATTTTTTAAACCTGATTACTTTATGCTGTGCTGTAGAGAGTATTCAAAGTGTTCCACATACATTTCTGTCATCCTCACAACCCTGTGGTGTTGTTATTAGCCTTGCAAAGAAGCCCACCAAGATTACGAGCCTGCCTACCCAGTGGAATGCATCTGTGGAACACAAGTTTAGGTTTCTGTTTGGTGTAGTGGTTAAGTGTCCGGACTCTAATCTGGGAGAACCGGGTTTGATTCCCCACTCCTCCACTTGCACCTGCTGATGTGACCTTGGGTCAGTCACAAGCTCTGGCACAGCTGTCCTTGAAAAAGAGCAGTTTCTGTCAGAGCTCTCTCAGCCCCCCCCACCTCACAGGGTGTCTGTTGTGGGGAGGGGAAGGGAAAGGAGTTTGTAAGCCGCTCTGAGACTCCAAGTGAAGGGCGGGGTATAAATCCAATCTCTTCTTCTTCTTCTTCTTCTTCACCTGGAGGGAATGCTTAACTCACCACAAGTGAGCAAGCAATGGGCTTGTGATCCGCAAATGAGCTGGGGATTGAGGCTGAGAGAACAGTGGTTTGCCTACAGCCACCTAATGGAATCTCAGTTCAGAAAAGTCAGTCATAGCAGAATTGTTTGTCTAGAGGAGGCAGACAGAAAACACTGACTCATGCAGAAACACAACAGGTATGCTCCTCCCAGGGCAGGTATTTCTCGTTTTACAGACAGTAAAAGTGCATCTTTTTGGAGTGCGAGCATGAAGCATACCTCCAGTCTTAATTTGGAAGAAAGTGCCCTCCTGCTACCAGAAAGGCACATCTTTACTAACATATAAGGGTCAAGAGGGCCCATGAATTAGCTTCCAGTCCTTGCAGCACACTTGCATTGTGTTGGTCAGGAAGCTTTCAGCTTCAGCAAAAAAAATCCAGAAACCTTTTTTTATAAAACGAATAACCTTGAAAAGTGAAATCAGATCTATGCTGCTTAAGACATCCAAGCCCTACAACATGGGCACCAGAAGAAAGTCATTTTGTGCTTTATTCCTTCAATTCAGGGGCATCAGATGAGATGAAAGGCCAATGTCCCCAGATGCCCAGGGCCACACTTTCAGTGTTCCACTGTATGGTAGTAAAAGGTGCTACTGTTTTACATCTTGGCTATCCAGATCCCTTCACAAGCCCCTCATTTAAGTCCCCTTCCCATGCACCACTCCTGGCTCTCCACACTCTTCTTGCATGGTGCAGCAGTTACCTGCTTCTCTCATCCCTGTCATACAAGTCTCTTTTTCTGTTGATTGAGCCCATTTCTCTTTCTCACCTCCCCCAGTTGGTAAACGGCAACTTCTGCACTCCTTGTTGCGTGGACAGTTTCTAGAGATGTAATGAGAAATTGATGTCGAGGCTTGCAGTAGATCAGCCCCTACTTAGAGCATCTTTTCTTAGCCCTGAAGATGGTTCAGTAATTCTTGTGGAGTGGTAGGAGTTCTGTGTGCTGCATCCTGAAATGCTCAATAAGTACCTGGAGTCTTAATGTTGAACAGCCCTATTTTAATCCATATAGCAAGATTTTATGTGTTCCACAGTGAGGCTGCAAGCTGCAACTTCTCCATTCCAGAAAAGCCTTATTTAAAGTGAATGGGACTGATTACAATCTAAATCAGAGAGCTGTTTGCTGGAGTATTGTAGCTAACCTCAGAGCCTCAGTCTGCATTATGGACCTCCAGCATTATCCCCTGGGTCTGTGCAATGAAGTGGCCTCTCGTAGCCAAACTAGACATGGGAGATACATGAACTGTCTTATGACACCCCCCTCCCCCGGTTGTTGGTTTTTTATAAACAGTAAAATGTTGTGAATTTATTGTGAATGTGATGTGGTATAAATGCTAAACCC